TATAGAACCTGTCAAGTTATAGTCATCATACTATAGTTGAGCAGCTTCTGATATCATTGTAGTTAAAGGAAAAACTATAGGTTAACATTTTGGTAGTGATTATGAGATAAGTTCTCAATTCATCGAAGATAATTGATTTTAGTTAGTTATAAAGAAACTCTGTCAATATAGGTCCGTTTGATCTGAAATTTGAAGAGTATACATTTGAAAACCTATCGCATCTTTTCTACTAAGCATATCTTAGTAAGAAAATCTCTCTAGAACCCGTTATTCAACTTCAAAGTAGTGACGACATTTTTGATCTGTAAAGAAATTGCAAGAAATCCCTCTTGAAGAAACATTTCGACTATTGTTATACCAACTTTAAACATCCATATCTTAGCAACCACTGAACCAATTTTAGTATTTTGACCTTTTTTAAGACTGAAAAGACTCTCTCTACAACTTTCTTTTAAGTGATAAATCCTGTTATTATAGTAGTTTCAAGAGATATTCGTTGATTTCTAAAATTTAAAATTTAGAAATAAAAGCATAAGTGTTTGCATTGTGACAAACAACTTCTAATATATAGTACAGATAATTTAATTTTAAAGGATACTTATTAAAGTTATTTATACATATTCAAAAATATATCATTCAAATACCTTTATCTCAAATAGACACTTTTCTTGAATAAATTTTTTCAAAAAGAATAACAACTCAAAAGAATCTTTTAAATTAATTCAAGAAACTTAGACTGATAGCATAACTTGAAGTCTTTAAACTATAAAATTTATAAACAAAAAAAATTTATTAGATAAATATTATATATAGTTATTGGATAATCTTTCTTTAAGAAATCTAGAATGAATAATAGTAATAGGTTACAATATATATATATTGTAACCTACTTACATTAGATTGTTACCTAGTTATGATTATACTGTTATCTAGTTATGATTATACTATTACCTAGTTATGATTATACTGTAACCTAGTTATGATTATAGTATACCTACTTACTGTTTTCGGTATTCTGTAGTTTTTTTATAACTAAGCTTATAACTATTTGTTTTTATTGCTTTGCATCTTTTTTATTATCTTGTAGCTATCCATCAAAATGGTAAAAAATATCACGTCGGGTGGCGCAGTAGACCTACGTTTAATTTCGGTCAACACTATAATATAATTTTAGCTGATCTTTAGAACACATAGTTTGAGGATCCAAGTCAGCACCATAGTAGTGGACCGATAGTATTTAGAACTATCGTGGTACTAACAGAGAACTGGAAAAGTTCTATTAGTTTATCAGTTCTAGATTACTTTTATGCCAGTTTGGGTACCAAGTTATTGTGTTCAAAGTTCTATCTTGAGGTGTCCTTGTTAAGTTTTTTTGCCATCCCTATAAATTTTTCATGAGATACAGGAGATAGTTTTTATAGAGACAAATTTTTTTAATGAGTTGGTGTGCTCACTCTAGCTAAAGCATGAACCCTCCAGTTTCTAGGGCTGGATCGGGCATTTTTGATCCAAGGATATGCATATTGGATATGATCGATGTATAGTAGTAAATTCCGTTCTAGTTATTAGGACAATTGGAACGGAACTGGGACAGAATTTGATATAGAAGAAAAGCTTCTTTCTTTGATTTAACTTGTTCTTTTATACTATGTCCTAGTTGTCCTAGTAAAAATAAGAATTCTAGAAAAAAATTCGTAATTCATCCTATGCTATATGTTTATGGTATATACTCCTACATGTATGATATATGTTAGTATGCTTATAGAAAAAAAAGTAATAAAAAAAAAATAAAGAATCTCGCATTTTACTTGGACAACTAGGACAACTAGGATGGCTATTCAAATTCCTTTTAATTCAGCTTAATATCACTATTTAGCTATATTTTTCCATCCAGGTTTCTGTCCCAGCTTATCACAGCAAACTAGAATGGGTTTTCTGAGATGGTTTGCTGATGGAATTTATTCTAGATTTTTGCAAGCTTTTGCTGATAATAGTATTCCATATTTCGGTACTTCTCTGCATGTTTTTTGTACATACCATATGCGGAGGATGTAATTTCATCACACTCCTTACATGGTACATGTTGGGGGATTTCCAGTGATAACTACATCCTTCAGGCCTATAACTACCCCATCCACAGACTTCTTCGCTTCTAAGAATGTATTCACAATGATAAAATGCCATCTTTTAAAATAGTTTCTTTTTATGCTATAAATTGATGTCAGTTACTTTTTAGTCGGAAATTAATTTTTATTTTAAACTTTTTTTATACAGATTTAGTATTTCTTTAAAAAAATGTCCGATACTACCATGACCCAATTCGAGCTTTCAGAGAATTTGGACAGCTTTGCCCCATACTATTGTAAGTTAAGAGCTTCTAATATAGATGCATACTTATATAAAATTCGTGATGATAGTGTTAGACCAAGGAATTTTCTAGGCACAGACAGTGAGTATAGTATCGAAGCTATACTCTCAGACCATGAAGGCCATTCATTGCACGAATTTATTGGTGGTGATAAGCCACTTCATCCTATCATAGATTTTGATTTGCCAATAGAAACACTAAATGCTATCACTCCTAAAGTTTCGCGTAAAGAAGCTTGTAAAGCTATTCAAATAGCCTTTAGAGATATTTGTCTGGAAATACATCTGGAGTAGGATAAAAAAAATATAACTGTCGCTACTAGTAGTAATGCAAAAAAAATATCCCTTCACATCTCTACTACTGGTATGTGGCTTAAGAACATTGCTCAGATCGCAGTATTCACTGAACTTGTTCACAAAAAACTCCAGATAGGATTACAGAAGAAAAGTATTATTGATAACATTGCAAATAAAAGGTCTTTCTTCTTTTGGATGCTTGGATCACCCAAGTATAAGGAAGAAACGAAAGAACATGTTCATATAAAAAAAGCTATCTATCCAAAAGATGGAACGATCTTTGACTTCATGATTCACCTGCCAAATAATGAATCAGAAGTTATAAAAAGCCCTCTCTTAGATGTTTCAGAAAATATAAGCAGAAGAAAATGCTCTACCATGAGTAATATTACTACTGAAGCTGAATTCAAGTTGGCAAGACATTGCTTAAAGAGGCCAATATTGAAGGCTATAATCTCTCATTTCTGTCAGAAAATTTCTTTGATAAATTTCTATTATCATGCATTTCTTCATCATATTGCCTATTATGTGATCAGAAACACACAAGTAATAATGCATATATTATACAAAATAAAAAAGCTTATAGCTTTTTCTGTTATTATGCAAACTAAGAAAAACAGCCTGGCATGAAAAACCCTTCGTTAAAGCTTACCATTAGCGAAACAGCTTTAGATAGAGAAAAAAAGCTTCCAAGTTCTGCAAAACTAAGCTGATCCAGAATTTCAGATCCTAGTGATCACTTTGTATAGGGTGACTTACTGCGCATATGTACCTCAGGTAAAAAATTCTCTTGTATGATTGTCTATGAGGCAATTCAAGCAATGATCGCCTGCGTTCAGAAGAAAATGAAAACATGGATTCTTAAACATAGGAATCTGAATAGTGAACTTATGTTTGACATAGGGCCTAAACTAGATATTGCAAATTTTACAATTAATATAATAGAACTAGGGGGTGAGGTGGTAAAATTAATATCTTTGATCAATCATGCCCTCATAAGTGGTGTAATACATTATGATAATGTCATTTTTTTCCTATAATCTCTCAACGTTAATTCACCAAAAACTGAATTCTTTAATCTTTTCTTTGGATTCAAGGCCAAATCAGCATCTCAAATTAATTAGATCTCATAAAACCTATCATCTGGCATATAGAAAATATCTGGTGTAATGGAAATAAAAATCTTTCTGTATATGTTCTAAAATGGCTTGCATTCCTAATTCAGTATCTAAGTATAATTCCTGGGACAATTCTTGTTTTACGCTCCCCACCACGATGTGAGAAGAATATTATCACTGATTTTATTCAAAAAAGTTTATTCGGGCCAGATCTTGTATTCTCAACTTCTGATCTAGGAAAGATTCTTGAATGGTTTAATAGCCCCATCCAAGCGCAAAAACTTATTATTATAAATGAAACAGGAATGGCTAGTAGTGAATGGCATAAGGCAAATGATCATTTAAAAGCTCTTATTACAGAAAACTATGTCTCAATTGAGTGCAAAGGCCTTGAATTCCAAGATTGTAATCATTTTGCTGGATTTATAATTTTAAGTAATCATAATGCTCCAATTCGAATAAAAATAGAAGATGGGCGTATCATATGTTTAGATGTTTCTCCTTACTGCAAAAATAATTTTGCATATTTTGACCAATTGGGAGGAATTCTTGAGCATCCTGATACGCCTGAATCTTTTATGTCATATCTGCTTAGTCTTAATCTTTCTGGATGGAAGCCATGTAAGATTCCTTCAACCAAAATGAAAATAGAAACCATGCGAGACCAACTACCTAATCACATTCGATTCATAATTGATTATATTGCATCATGGCCTGAAGATAAAATAGCTAAGCTAAGTAGCAATATATTATATCAGGAATATTTTGATTGGTGTGGAGGCAATAGAGAAAAACTATTTTCTAACAACATTCTTGGTAAGAAATTCTTAGAGATTAATATCGAACGCAAGAGAGCAAGTGGTAGAAAAAGAGAATGGCAATACATTCTCGATCACTCCAAAATCATAACTAAGCTCTATGAATCTGGCCTAGATGATATCGAAGAATTTTTTGATACACCTCAACCCGACTTACCTGAAAACGAAACTACAAATATACCCATATTCAATGTGCCAGAATTTATTCCTCCAAAAATAATCCTGCCTCAGGCAGAAAAGAATCTCTCTCCTAGTGATAAGAAAGCAGATAAACAGAAAAATCTAATCCAAGCTCTACCTGAGCCAAAAATCGTTGAGTGGTCTCAAAAGGACTAGCTCGAAACTAGCAAGCTTCCCGAACCTATTAAGCTTATAAGTGGAGTGGTGCCTGATACGCCTTCTAAAGAAACTGATTCTTCTAAGCCTATCAATGAAATATCATTTGCAATACTTCTGAGCAGGGCCCAGTGTAAAGAGCGCCTCAGAAAAAGGGCAATCGAACTCAGTGAAGACCCTAATAAGTTTGTGACCATCACAGAAAAAGACAGGCTCGATTCTACTGCATTTCGTTATAAAATGGAAATGGATGCATGAATGTGCGATTATGCAAAAGAAAGCGAAGAAGACCCAAAAGAAAATATGGAAATGACAGTACGAGAAAGATTAATAGGAGAAGAGATTATCTGGCATGAACTCAAAGAAAAAGAAATCACATCCTCATGGCTCGATACTGATGAAGAATGGCAAAAAAATATAAGCATACTTCAGGAGAACGGTATGCTTTGGTAAAGAGTGAATAAGAAGCCGGTTTACAAGTGTTGTATTTGGATAAGAGGGTTCTTTACAATTGTGAGATATAATTTTATATTAATATTTTTTTTTCTTATAAATTGGTAGTGTCGAAGTGAAATAAAAATCTATGAAGTGTATATCCTATCTCTTTACTAATCATTCATGATTGCCAGTAGATTGATCAGTCCTTGGCTCATACTAAATAATTCATGAATGAATAGATCGCTAAATCCAAAATTAGTATCTAAAAATATTTTTTTTAGTCATAAAGAATATACTATAAATAAGCTAAGTATAAAGAATTTTATTGTAAAAACTTATCTGTACTTGCTTCGCTGATATCATCATGTCCCTTGTTAATCTTCAAAACCTCACTCTTAATATTTTAAAAGAAACAAAACATAGTGCAGTACAAAATATTAACATTACAGAATTGCCACTATGTAAAATATGTAATAAAAAAATTTTAATGGTGTTAACATTAAGAGTTTTACACATTTTTGATCATAACTTTTGATATACCAAACCAATTTGGATGAAACAACCACCATTGGATTCAGCTCACCGAGACGATTCTAACGAGCACAAGATCATGT